TATCCTAAAACGATTTTCTACAGTATTCAGGAGAATATAAGAATATCAGAAGTATCAGAAGTATTATAGTACAATTTTCTTTAGATTGCCACCACGACAACTAGTAAGAAGAGCCTTTCTACGAATGGGCGGAGGCTCCTCGTAGTAATCCAGAACTGATGTATTGGTACTCGGCAGAGTGCGAAATTTTTGAGAGATATTGTGCTAGAAATAATTATTTATTTGTACATCAGTTTCAATAAGCTGCAATGGCGAATATTGTCGATGCGAGTACTAAATACTAATCACAACGAGCAACACACCAGACAAGGGTGCTTGAGAATTCACTAAGAAACGAAGTGGGTAGAGGGGATAATCCTCCCACAACACTCGCGAAATGGATGTATCGAGCACCAAAGGGGTGAGGGAATGAGACCACAATAACTACCGAAAACAAAATAGCAATTGATAATATTGATGGATGCAGCGTCTTCTAGAGCTAGCTCTCGGTACTAGAATTGTGAGCAATCTTGTCCGCCTCGGTGTATAACTTTCCAGCGGGTAACCAAGAATTCTTGTAGGATGACGAATACGAATTCAATTATGTCACAATCTTCATACGGTGCCGTTTGTCAGGAGCGTTAGATGCAATACCAGCTGTTTGTAAGTTGGCCAACAAAGTCAATCGGTGGATTAGATTTACTCCATAAGAGGAAGAAAGATTAGGCAAAGTGACCGTATACTAGAAAGAGTCAATGTATGTTAACCTTTTAAGGAAGATTTAGGAAATAATTTCCAATGCGAGACTTTGTATAAAGAAAAGTATCAGGGGTGTAGAAGTGTAAGTGCAAGTATTTCTTCGCGAACTTCTTAATGAGACAGTCACATTGTTGCAGACCTCTGCCAGTGACTTTATGATTCTTAAAGGAATGCAGTAGTTGGGGAACCAGGTGGTCATTAATGAGGATCAGCTTCCAGTTTGGCTTAAGGGAACCCGAAGATAATCCACATTAGGTAGGCAAAGTTTTAAGATACCAGTTCCACATAAGGAATGACCTAGATACACATAAAGTTTGAACTCATGATCAGCTAGGAATGAAGTACTGTCCAGACGAACGAAGAGTTTCACTCCAACAGCACCAAAATTTTTAGATATTAGTGCACTCCCTAGAGATGACAAACATGCCGCAAGAGTTTACAAAGAAGGAAATGAAGTAAAGACAATATTTATCTTATTAGCCTTCATCAAGATGAGCTCGTCTGAGAAGGCCATGGTAGAAACATATGAACTATTTCACATGGTGCTCCATAAAAGCTCGTGGCGAGACCAAGTAATTTATCAATAACCTTATTAAAGATTGTGGAAGGGTGGTAGAATGTTGAATTCGTCTGGAAAAGTAAAATAAATTTTCAAAAGTTCTCAAGGATGATGAAAGAGCTTGATGGAATGGTTAGATGGTTTCAAATACTTTTCTTATATTCGAGGGCAACCACATCATACGATCGTCCATGCTTCAGCCTCGATATAATGTAAATATATAGAATCAGTGTATTAGCCAGGGTGTCGCCTATTTTCGTGAAACGACGTTAATGGATACATTCAGATATTGCAGCTTTAATGGGTCTGGGGGACTCGGTGGAGAAGACGTTGTAAGGTTGTGATAAGCTTGCAATGGTCGGCATACAATCCTTCGTTGCCATTCGGAATAAAACTGTACGTAATTTAATGTAGGCAAGCGGAATGATATTATGGACTAGCATACTGGTGCACTAACTAATGCTGCTGGCGGCAAATTGGGAGTACTTTTGACCTAAGTGGTGCTTTTACCATTAGGGCCTGGAGCTAAAGAGTGCTAATTTGTTTTGGCAAAGTAGATCTTTTTAGAACCAATTGGATAGAAGAAATTTATAAGTTGTTTGAGGTTCGTAACGGGGGCGTCAAATCAAAGGATTAGATATACGAAGATGTGGCGGTAGGTACTGTCGATGGCTTTAAGTGGGAAGCAGATGTTTAGCTTGACTTTTTACTCTGGAAAGATAAGTTCAGTCAATGTAGTTTATTTGTTTAATATCCTTGTTTTTTTGCTGTAGATTTGAGTAAATTGGACTAGGAATGGATTCTAAGTTCATTATGAGAAAATTCTGCAATAACAAAATCGACCCTCAGTATATATTCCTTCTTGGATGGGTAGGGATAAGGATATCCGATCTCTCAAAGAGGAGTAGATATGTGCCCAATTCGTCGAGAACATTGGAAAGGTATGCCAGAAAGGGGCTCTCTACAATAGAGACAGGAGTCCTCTCATCCAAGCAATTTGAATGTGAAGATGACAAGAAATCTCTTAGTGATACTTACCGGAGTCTAACTGGTTTTACGTTCTCTGGATAGAAGTATAGATGAGGTCCAGTTTATCGAGATTGCCATCAGGAGAACTAGTAAGAGAAACCTTTCTACGAATAGGTGGAAGCTCCTCGTAATTTGGAACTGAAATAATGGTACTCGGTGGAGTGCGACACTCTAATAGACATTGTACGTGTTCAAGTTTTTTGCGACTGAGTCGAACTTCGTATTTTGTTCATCAGTCTTAGCATTAGCTTCAATTTCTACAATTTTAAAGGATAGTGACATTTTCTCTCCTAGGTCATACATTTCTGACTTCGGGCTCTACGTTCGTGAAAATGTAAGCCAGGGAAGTAGAAAAAGACACTGACATTTTAGGTACGGCTATTTCTGCTTTCGCAGATCTTCATATGTTTTATATTTGGCTGTATTTTGAACCTTCCACGAACGACAATTTTCTGAGAATTAACGAAAACGTCTTGAACAAACTAATTATCTTCGTTTATCGTCAAATTCAGTGGACCGAAGAACTAAAAAATTTTCCTACTGTAATGAATGTAGGCGTCCACAAGTCTCGGTTAACAATATGAGTAAATTGTATCTAGCTCAAGTTGACCTCCCTAATCTGATTGTTTTAATAGGTCAACAAATGTATAAGCTTGGAAATAATGAAATAATGTGCGATACCGAAACAACAACCAAGTGTTTATTTCCATTAAAAGGCAACAATTAAACATTTTAATTTATTTTTATTAATTTACTAATTTGAATTTGAAGTTTATCTGTCGCAGCTTTGCGATACTAATACCCAGCTTTTTCGTGGTTAAATACGAGTCCACTCTGCAAAAATTGTTGTGGTAAATTGGGTTGAGTCTAGAGTCACCATTTGACTGGTCTTGACCGAATTGAAATTCGAAAAAGCAGGAAGAGCGGGGCTTTGTACGAGTGCGAAACGTGGACGGTGGGCACATTGAAAAGGGCAAAGTTAGAAGCGTTTGAGATATAAACATTACTTCTTGACATCGTATCAAATAGGAGAATGACAAAAATACCGTTGAATTGAAGAATAGGTAGCGCTACGGAATTAAACGAGTGATAGAAGCGATATAATGGTAGAACACCTTCTGAGATATGAAGGGCTAGTTAGATACATGCATATTAGAAGCAGAAACGTGAGTTAGGAGGGGCAAAGAATGGCTGAGCTTGGATAACTGATCGAAAAAGGTTTTAAGTGTGGTATTTTTTATCGTTTTGATCAAAGGGTCATTTTAAAAGACGTAATAAAAATTTTAATGAAAGCCAAACACGTGCAGGTACTTTTATCTTAATGTAAATGAGGATCTGTTTACATATAAATCTATCGGGTTGTTCGGAAAGTCATTTCGTTTTTTCCCGACAGAGGATTTAATTGTTTTCTTTTGCACCCAACTTCAGTGCTAATTTGGCGGTATTTTAGTTGAGTGAAAAATTAATGAATTATTTTTACTCGGGGGATTTATTGTTTTCTTTTGCACCCAACTTCACATTTNAATCTGCAACATCCAATAGCTTTTTCTCGGTGCCAATCATACTCTTCCCTGTCCGTATATTTTGTGGACGAGTACATTGTTTTTTTTTTATATTTTCAAAATATAACTTAGTTTTGTATCTTGTGGTAATAGCACTAACATCGCCAATCGAACGGTGACTACGGTTCCTAATCGTTGTCACGTGCAATTGGCCTGTCTGCGTACCAGCTAGTGTGAAGGCCACGAGTAGGTACATGTGTTTCGTCATTTGACGCTTACGATAACGAAGGGCGAGAAGATAATTCGGGCGCCAGTCTGGCTAGTGTTCTCAATCAATAACAGCATGTTAACTGGGGTACCTTTTGTGGATAGTTTTTACACCCCTTATGTTGTTTCGCGATTACGAGATTCACTTTACAGTATTTCCAAATGTTACCTTTTAAATATTCCGGAATACGAATCAGATATAGTGATATAGGCATATTACCTGTGTCTAATGTTTTACCATGTAGATAAGGTAAAATGTTTACCGAACATATAAATTACACATTTTATGTCGCATGAGTGAAAGTGCACAATTTGGTGAGTATGTTTTTTCAACGACGCCTGACTGAAAATATAGCACCTGATTATTTAAAAACTGTACTAAACTAACCAAACTCATAAAATCTTTTGAACAAAGCGTAACATCCCTCGGAGGTCTTAAATTACATTTATTGGGTTTATTTTACGTTATTATTTATATGAAAAGGTGGTCGAAGATATGTACGACTTTCTTTATAGCACGTCATATTTTTCAAAGGACAATAACCCTTCGGCCGGTTCTCAATTCGCCTGTACTTATATCAGAATCTTTAAAATGCTGTATTATGAAATTAACGAATTAACCCTAGCTCTTACTGTGTTTTAATAAATTTGGAAATTATATAGCAATACATTTTACAACCAACATTTTTGCAAAATATATATTCTATTTATGACATTGTTTTATTAATTATTAATAGTGTTCAATGTTAATATGCAACATCAACTTGAAATCACTTTTCGATTTTGAACCACTACAAAACAACATTCCCGGCGGGGGGTGACAACAGCAACAAAAATATTTTCCTCATTAATTTGAGGAAATTTGCAGTGGTTCAAAATCGAAAAGTTATTTCAAGTTGATGTAGCATATTCTATTTATACGAGTATACTATTTTGAATGTACGAATTATTAATTTAAGCGTTTGCATAACCCTCAACGTTCCTTATCATTCTTTATTTTTTATAGATGCTGAATGTGCTTATGGAGAGACGAAACATATAGATTGTAATTCTTGTTCTTGTACAAAAAATGGTTATTGGGCTTGTACAAGAATGGCTTGTATCAGCGGCGGTCTTAATGATGCTTCTTCTGGTGAGTATCAATACTATCTATAACCAATAACTTCTCTAACGCATATTTAAAAATGCACCCTTCGTATACAAAACGCTTGATTTTGGAACCTCGATTATTACTTATAGTTGTATTAATACGAAGGCGTAGAAGGGCCAAACACAATTTTTTTATTAATGTTCGACTTGTAATCCGAAATTTCGAGTTGAGTATTTATTTACCCTTCAGTATACGAAGATAGCCTATCTCGGCCAGAATCAATAGTATCGTAAAATTATGATTCGGGCTGATGAATCGTGGTCTAAATAAACTGTCCAGATGTTTCGTTGACAATTGTGACTGAAATCTTCAGCGCTCATGTTATCAATACAATAACACTGAAGATATCTTAACCCGATCAGTCATCTGGACCCAACTATACAAAGATTACATTAGGTTGCGATTCAATAAGCATTTAGAGTTACAAGTTGAAATTTCGAGTTGCAAGTCGAAATTTTGAGTTACAAGTCGAAATTAAAAAAAAATACAACGTGTAATTATACAACACGCTACTGAAGTGAAACTTCTTCAAACACACAAACATACCGGGATAGGGATTAAGGAATTGGCGTCAGTGGCGCCGTTTCGACTGTAGAGTGTAGGCACACATACACAAACACATACAAAAACATTCATACATTTTGTTCGGGCTACACTATACATGCCGCAGTTGCCTGTAACGAACGTTGCATTGAAGCACGTTCACAGCTGAAGCGATCCCCACTACGAACTAGACTACGTGGCGGAGTGGAGGGGGGACATCCGTTGCATGATTTCGTTACATCGCAACTCGCATGAAACGAACTTACCTTACCGTGCGTAAAGAAGAAGTTTCACTTCAAAAAGTATGTTTGGCCCTTCTACGCTTTCATACTTTAGAGGGCATTGAAAATAGAATTCATTTTTCGTTCTTCCTAGAAAAATAAGTCTCACAAACATTTTCTTTTGCATATTCAGAATTCACAAACGATTTCTATTCGATTGAATACTTGGAGTTTATTTTATAATTAATTAAAAGCTCCTAATCATTAAATTAATTACCAGTTAACTGATTAGTTACAAACAAAATTATTTCTGTCGCAATCAATTTACATAGACTAATATTTAAGTATCTTTTCTATTGGCTGATTATATACAGCTTTAAGTAACGCATGAGTAGTCTTTTTGGCTACAGCACTTGCCAGAGTCTTATTAGNGTTCGTCGCCCCCTTTTTACTTATTTCTATTGTTTCTATCCCATTCATACTTTGAAGAAACGCGACGGTATGAGATGAGACGGAACTGACAAATTTGCCACAACCTTTATCAGTCACCATTAAGAAGAAAAACGAAATGTGTGCTGGGACACATAGTAGAAGTGAAACTTCAACGGACAAGAGGAAAAACGAATGGCAACGGACAAGTGGAAAAACGAATCGCAACAAAATTTTTACTTCAAGTTTTACGGGCAGATTGTTAATGTAGGTACTTGTCCAATTTGAAAACTTGCCCGTAAAAGTAAAAATTTTGTTGCCATTCGTTTTTCCACTTGTCCGTTGAAGTTTCACTTCTACTATGTGTCCCAGCACACATTTCGTTTTCACAGGTTTGCTGCAAATTATGATTTTGTTTTTACACAGACCGCAAATACAGGCAATGATGTCCAGCCATGTGGAGAGCAGAGGTAAGAAAACAACAGCTGAGCACAGCACATGCCGCCGGGACTCTAGCAGACTCCCCGCTCTCCGCGTGGTTAGGCATTATATCCATCTAATACAACGTTGCCTTCTCTCCGCCACCGCCAGCCTTTCTCTCCCTTCGTCTCTGCCGCCGCTCACACTGCGATGTACCTCTACCCCCTCCACGCGACCCTAAGACCTTTTCCTGACAGAAAATACCCTCCGTCTATATAGAAGTTTCACTTCAAAAATAAAGCCACACTGTTACAAAATACAAAAGGTTTTATTATTCTGCAAGAAACAGAAGATGATACATTATTACCTGACGTTTATTCTAGTCGACTTTTGTACGTATATTCGTATGCGTCCATTGCAAAATGTCTGCCACAGGTATTGTAGTTTAGAATAACATGAAATTTCAGATTTGATTCACATTGTATATTTGGAAAACATTGACTTGACTGTAATTCTATTGGTTCTAACCATGTACCTTGCTATAAAATCAGAGACTGAAGGAGTTGGAGCTCCAGACAAAGTGACGGCATAAGTGATCGGCAGGAAAAAAAATCAGGATATTCAGGACTCAGAAACTAAGGGGGACAAACCTCAGCGTTTAAGAATTGTTTCATACGGCAATAGACACAGGAGCATTTAGATATATGGTGGTCAACCTTTAAATAGAAGACGGCTTGAAAAAAAGTAGAAGAAGAAGACACAAGCGACCCCTAAGAAAATCTTGCATGTCTGCACGAGATAATCTTTCAAACGCCACAACCGATTTTGATGATAAGAAGAGACTGTCAGTTAACCTATCATTTTAAAATTGATAACTACAGTATCGACGAATTAATTATAAAACAGATAATTTCTTATAATAAATAATAAAAATTAGTGCTAGATATGTGAAATCACTTAATCAGTTAATACCAGACTTTAACATTTTCACGGATGTTTTGCTAGTTAGTACACACATCACTGGAAACCACAGTAAGAATAAGAATTAGTATTTACTTCGTTTTATGCATACCACTCATGTTTTAGTATTTGGGTTTTAGTTTCAAATTGGTAGTCATTATGGATAAGATTGCTTGCTTTTTTAACATTTCAATTACCTTAAAAAAGCACTTAATCTATGGGTGAAACAGTTGGTTTTTTGTAAATAAATGTTGTTTCTTTTATATGGATAACCATCTGTATAAAGAAAGAGGAAGTGGAAATTTTCCAATCAATATTCAGGTGTATTTTTTGTAACAACAGAAACATTTTGTAGTTCCTGTAGGTTTTTGATTTTATTCACTCATTTGGACCGGATTTCTTTCTATCTATCTATACATGTCAGCTATAATTTGTTTTTTTTATTATTTATATAAAAACTTGGTTTTACGTCCTAAGTACGTGTCGAAGATCGTACACAAGCATACAAAACTAATTTTTCTATTCCTCGGGAACAGCTTTTTTTACCCTATGTCCTTTTCTGTACCCCTGACAATGAGTGTAAAAATTTCATGATAGTTTTTATCTGCGGCTTCTTTCGAGTTGATGTCCTAAATACGTGTCATACAACACTAATTTTTCTATCCTTCAGGAACAGTTTTTTTTCTCTGGATAAAAGGTACCCTATGTCCTTTACTGCACCCCTGACAATGTGTGTAAAAAATTCCATGATGATCGGTTGAATACTTAAAGAGAGAAATGGTAACAAACAAACCCACATTTGTATTTATAAAATTAGTTAAGATGCCGATCCCAAGAATCCCAAATGACTTTGATACTTTTATCATTCATACATTATTTTTAACTTTAACTGGCTTTTACTTGCATATATACTACTTTAATTTACTAATGTAATTTCTGAAACAATTTAACTTTTTTATCATTTGTAAATATTTCATCGTAATAAATGGTTTCCGAGTAATGTATTAATAGATACACACCAAATATTTCAAAGCCGCCTCTGTTTAATTGTGGTCATTTTCAATAATACTATGATAACAAGTGAAGGAGTGAGTGAGAGTGCGAGGATATCGCATCGTACAAATACATGCAAACGAGTACACGTACACACTTGTATGTAAACGAATCTGAGAATTAAATCTCATTAATGTATATCCCCACTATGAACGAACTCCCATCCGTCTCATATAAACAGATGTAATCAGTTTAAACGAATTGTGTGGTATTTGTATGAACAAGACACTTATTATTTATTAATAAATTTGTTTTATTGTTATTTTCAAGATGTGCTGTGTTAAATTGTTGTTGTGTGTTTTTATCATTGTTGTGTGCAATTATGGATATAGTGTACAAGGTAATTAAATTAAGTAATTAAATATTATTCAAATTTAAGTATCGTTACGAAAACGTGACGACTTTTAATCGCTGCGTTTGTATCACCGAAAAACATATGTACATTCGAATTTAATGTTTCATTAATTATTATTAACACTTACTATTGGTAGATAAGGAAAACAAAAAATAAAGTAGTTAGTTATTTGATGTTCTAGTGCAACACACGTTAAAAGTATTTTACTAATATAAAAAGTAAAATTAAGGATTTCAAGAATGATGTACATCAATTTACAAAAACTTGTGGAAGTTACTGTGTGTGGTAAAACAATAATTGTGGAATACGTAATTTATATCATTTTTAATTAATAATTAAAGTTTCAGTTATTTTTTAATTTCTTTAAATCTACTTTACTGTTGCTAATGTTCATACTGCCCGTCTTAAAATCAAATGTTGGTTAACTTGGTGTTATGTACTCAAATAGGAGACATTTGAACGTGAACATTCATACCTAATTGAATCTTGACCATGAGGACTGGTTTTGGGGGTTAAGTGATTATCTAGCGGTATATCAAATATGTATGTTAATGCTTTAACACGTTTTCGAAAAACCGCTTAACAGTTGGCGTGCTCTCGACTTATCGTTCAGAAAAGTCATGAACATTTAAAGGGTAGATTAAGCAAACATTAGGCAGTATTTATAAAAATAAAGCATTTACTTTCAAGCAAAAGGTTACAAGTAAAAGCTTGTGCTACAATTCGTATTAATAATCTATACCCTTTCCTTGCAAGGAAATGTTTCGGATTAATAAAATAAAAGGTACAGATTAGACCCTATCGATTTCGACAAACTAGTTGAAATTTGCATTGTGCAATCAATGTGTGTCTGTTCCGTGACAGCTGTTTATTTTATTTGTTTAATACATTCCTGATTTACTTGTGCAGGTTTGAAAGTTAGCAAATTTAAAATGGTTCGCACAATAACGCAAAATTTTTTTCATTTTCTGCAAAGGTGACACGGCTGCTCCACGTGTTTTGGGATACGCGCCAAGAAAGTGGTCCGTCAACCACACCACATTCTCCTCCTCAAATCTTAAACGTTTTAAAATTTGATTCTCGTGGTGTACGTCTTGGTTTGTAGAATTTTCTTGTACGTAAATGCACCATATCAGCCATAACAAGCACAACACTGGGACCACACAACCAAATATAACTTATACAAGTCCTTTCAGAAATACTCAAATTTTTTCGTTACAAGCTGTGTGATGCACGGGCAGCTACTGAAAAATTAAAAAAAGCGATACAAATTATGTAAAAAACCTTTTAATTTAAACCAAACCCTCGAAGCAAAACCTTTTTTTTATGCATATACCTTAAAGGAATTTTTGGAAGCAAAAGGTAAGGCTTCTTCTTATAAATACCACATATTGTCAGGATTGCGTTACGTTAATAGTTTTTTACTTAGGATATTCGTTATCTTGAATTTTGACAAATTGTGCATCAATGAAGGTTTTAATTCAAACAATTTCAACTTTTCAAGAATTTTATTTTGAAATACTTTAATAAAATTTTAATAGTGGTTAATATTTAATATTAATGTGAAAATTTATTTAATATTTATCCACTACAAATTAGATCAAATTGTTCAGGAAAAATTGTTGCTGTTGTTACACCTTGACCTAATAAGTACGTTTCGTTGTTGTGGCGCTGTAACCTCTCCTAGTGGTCAGGGCATTGGTTGCGTAAAGCCAATGGTCTCGCATTCGATTCCCAAGAGCAACAATTTTTACTGAATAATTTGAGGTAATTTGTAGTGGATAAGTATTAAATGAATTTTTACATTAATATTAATTTTATTTTGTTTTACTCAATTCTATAGCTTCTACAAACTATAAAAATTAAGGGTTTATATACACTAGTGACGAGTTGGAAATGAACATAGCGCTAGTCCCTTACATGCAATCATCAAAGGGCGGCATCATTTCATTATTTGTATGCAATCAAGACTCAAACGGCTTTAAACTTTAATTTTTCTTTTGTCTGCCCTTTTGTACAGCTGAGTTTTGAAACGACTGAATAATTTCGGTGAAACTTTACAGGCATGTAGAGGAGCTGGTCAGGAGTAACGTAGGATGCTTCTTTAAATTTCAGTTATTAATTGGTTACAATTGTATTTATTATTAAAATTAGAATTATTAACATTGCTGGAAAATATTGACGCAGAGGAATATTCACTTTCATCTTTTCAAGAATACTTCTTCGTATAGGAGAATTCGTACAAATACCTTCAGTCTTCTTTTCATATAAATATATGAATGAAACAACAAATACTATAATAAACGTGTTTATGTCGCTTTATTGTGTTAAAATATTCGATTACATTATCAAAATTTACTTTTCTGACCTTTTTAATCGACAATATGGAAAGATTGGTAAATCGCGTTTGGCTCATCGTGGATCATAAGTAAGATTGTATCAACCTTAATTTTGGGAAACTTCTTTCATAAGAAGCCACTGAATCACAAATAGTTAAAAATATCTTAAACTCAGCGCTAGGCTCGGAACAGACTGAGAATAGTTCCTTGGACCGCTTCTTGTAGAGAAATGCTGGCAGCTTCCAAGTGATATCTCAGTAGTAATATCACCAAAACAAAGTCTTCTGCAGAAAATTCATCATAGATTTTTGTCAGATTTCTTTTTCTGTTGACGTAGGCAGAGTTTTAGGCTGAACAACACCAAATGTTATGAATATTATCCATTGCCATGTAACCATGGTCCAATTCTCCGTAAATTCTAAGCCACCTAAAGTGATGGGTCATGCAACAAAACTGCCAACCGGCCGTCTTTGTTGATATCTAAGTGCAATTACAACTTTATGTCAACATTCAATCAAAGCACGTTCTATATTCTGTTATGTACCTGTACCTACAAAGCTCAAAATACTTTGAAAACTTTCAGAAGGGTGTATTCAAATTAATTCCACACCCTGCTTTATCGAAATACGGGAGATGCGTAGTAGGTAGTATAAAATTTTTGTTGAATTTCAGCTGGAAAGATAAACTCATTGTCAGTAAGGATTATTGTCAATTAACATCGTCACTAAATAAAATTCGGACCGTCCGCCTTATTTCTGCGGATGTTGGATGTTTTATTGCTTCAGCCGCCACTTTAGATAGCACGGAGTTTAGCTCTCTGTATCTCTTCTGGCAGTACTAGTCCAGCGTCTTGGGCTGTTTCTCCTCTGGCACACGTTTTCGAAATCTGTTCCTTCCTCTTCTTTTGAGTGAAGTCTTCGCATTTTTCAATTGCAAAGGAAATACCTCCTTTCATTATTGTCACCCTTTAGTGTTTGGCACATGGGGCGGACCGCCCCTTTTCGTCGCCACTGATGGGTGTTATGTTTTGCTTAAAATATTTTGAGAGTCTGGCTAATTTAGAACAGTTTTATAAAACCTCTACATGCCGTATTTCCCTTCAATTGAAACATCCCACATCCTCAACTCTATTTGTGAACAGTAATTTAATCTAGGACTACCTGTAAATCTATTAATCCCTGTTTCTGCTGCTAATATATCTCTAACTAACCCTGCATGCCCTACCAACCTATCTCGCTTATTTCTTATTCACTTCCATAGTTCTCCTACTTTTTCTAAAACCTCCTCGTTCCACGGTATTCTCATTGTTCGCCTGTAACGCCACATTTCGAGCGCTCCTTTTCCGCCGCTCTCGGCGTTCACGTTTCGCTTTCAAACAGTGGCGTACTCTAGACATAATAATCTTTTTTGAATTTCTAAATTACCCAGTTGCGAACATAAATGTGACTTGTTTTCGTTAAAGGCGACTATCCTTTGTTTTATATCTCTACTGCTCCATTCATCCTGACTTATCTGACCTCCTAGATGACAAAAATCAGCCAATCCTTATAGCGTATTGTTTTGTCAATATTGTTACCTTTTATTGAAGGTTATTTTTAACTCCTCTTTAGTTGATGCCAATACTCCTATGTTATCTGCAACTATAACCATACCTACTCAATTTTTTCCGCTGTATATCTATCCCTAAAGGTGTCCTGTCTTTAATGATGTTTATTATCGAGTCGATATATAATACAAAAAGTAAAGATGACAGTATGCATTCATGTCTCATTCTCTTCCTAATATTTATTTCTATACGATTTTTAAGTATATTTAACATCTGTCTTTCCCCTTTATATCGTTTTCTTTATTGGTAGGTACCTGTAATGCCAAAATGGCCTCCCATCCGCCTTTATTTCTTTTAACCCAAATATGTCTTCTTTTAATATAATAGGTTTTCCGTCCTTTTTCAATTTTTGTCAGTACGATTCTAGTTACGATTTTTAAGGCATAGGAAGGTATAAAAAGTTGAAATTCCTTCGTTAAAAGTATGCAAGAAGAAACCCTATCCTATATCTAATTCGAAAATCTCTAGGTTTTTAACTTCATGTTAATATTAAATGCAGCCTTAGTAAGAGCGAATAGACGAATCTTGAATACATTCGCAGTGTGTAACATAGTGTCAAAGATACACAAGAGCACATCACTACATAAATACAGATTTGTCTGGGTTAAAATTTAAATAATATTTCACCTTTATCTACATAATATATTTTGATATCAAAATTTTTGTTTTGTACTAGTTCTTTAATGATTCCAATAACTAAGTGAGTCATCGACTAAATAAACAAGTACAGTATTTTACCAAAGTTGTTTACTTCCGTAACTGCATAATATAAAGGAATGAAGTTTTATACGACTGATGTTGATAAAACCATAATTTTCCCATAATTTTATCTAGAAAACAAACAACAAATATGCACCTAATTATTTCGTACCAAGAAAGAATATTATATCGTCATGTTGTTTGTTTTTATTAAAGAACAAGTATTTCTGGCTTCTAAATTCCATAGGAAATGGTTCATAAACAGTGCGTTAAGAGAATGTCATTTAAATATTGTTATCATGATGAACCGGTATTTAGGAAACCATGACTTTAATGGAAAATCGGAAAATTTAATAAGATCAATAATGAGCCTCTCACAACGGTCTCTTTTAAGTAGTTGAGCATCATAATAGGCAGCACTCCAAAATATTTCATATATAGTTGCGACCATCAAAACTGGCAACAATGTCCGCAATAATTTACCTGTGAATGAATGCACGTATATTCCTTCTTGTTTCCACTTGAGACTGTACTCATTTGCTGCGTTTCGTACTCGCCCTTGTTAAATTAGGAAATGCTTCATGAGTAATACAGACAAAGTGTAAAGAAATAACTGAATAATTGTAAGTAGAGCAGCGGTTAGAAATTGCTTGGGTACGCTAAAGATCAAGGTCGGCTTTGTAAGTGCTTCGTTCGAATTATATCTTTAAACAAGAGTCTTTGCTTTTTTAAATTCCTGAGAATGTTGAACTTTCTTTAAAGACCAATATCGGCAACATCTGTTTTTCTGCATCTCTTTCTGGTACTCATTACTTGGTGTAATGTTATTCCTTTTTCTTTGTTAGTGTCCGCTGCAAATCCTACCTGGCGTCTCTTTTCTATGTTTACGATATTCCGGACGTCTGTCGTGAGTAAAAGAAGTAGTTGACTCAGCAACCGCTGTATTCTAGTTAGTGTGTTGAACGAAGAAACTAAATGCGACAGTTTTATTGCGGACTATACCAATTTTGAACTTCCCAACTACAGACATTTTGGACTCGGCAAATTAAGTACATATTCGGAATTCCTGTTTCATTTCATATATTCAGCGATGTAGGTAAAGATAGCTCGGGTGGGCCTGTGCTGAATTCATATTATACAACAGCTGGCCGTCAGTTTTTCGTTGTAATCCTATAAGGTTCCGTGTTTCATTCGGAAGTGCAGAACCCTACTAGGTTGCTCATTTAGTAGTTATTGATATTTTACTTGAAGAAGATGAGGAAATAAAAATAAAGGTAAACAAGAAAAGCAAGGAAAAAAATGGCTACACAAAAGTTTATTAGAAAAACTAAAGAGGAATTTTTCACACTGTGTATTAAAGAATTGCTAAATGAAGTAAAATTTCATCAGTATTTTAGAATGTCTAAATATTAATTTACCCTTTGTAACACCCTTCTGCTAGTTGCTAACTAACCTACAGTATCCTTCCGCAACATTGGTCACCGGCAGGCCCCCGCCAGCCGTGATCTAGCTTTGACGTACAAGGGTGAATACTTCATTATCATAAGATCGTGAGTCCTAAGACTGGTTGGGCACGTACCTCCACTCTTTTCTATCCTGAGCTAATCTTCGCATTTCCCTAAATCTAGAACATCCCACATCCTTAACTACTTGCGAACAGTAATCTAATCTAGGTCTACCACTACCCCTTCTAACTTCCGTTTCTGCCTCTAATATATCTCTGATTAAACCTTCATACCTGAGAAGGTGTCCTACCAACGTATCTCGCCTATTTCTTTTTAACTTCCATAGAATCCTCTGTTTTCCTATTCTTTCTAATACCTCTTCATTTCTAACCTTTATCCACGGTATCCTCATCATTCGCCTTTAATACCACATTTCGAACGCTTTTAACCTTTTCTTTTCCGCCGCGCCCACAATCTATGTTTTAGTGCTTACTAAACTGAATAATATTTTAATGGACATCCTACCGACATGTAGATGATAGTGGGAATCAAGCTTAATTGTCAGCTAATTTTAGAAAGGGCTATTACTAATTTTCTGTTAAAAAAATAGAAGCAGTTTCAGACTGTTAAAAGGTTTTATGCTCATTATGTTTGTTCTATCGTATTTCAGCAAACAATTGTGTACCTGGTTCCTTGGAAACTTATAGTTGTAGGACTTGTTATTGCACTAAAGCACAAAAGTGGATATGTAGGTCATCAAATGACCCGGAATGTCGGGTATTTACCCAAAAGGAAAACAAGAGAAAAACAAGAGGTAAATAATGTAGTATTTGTGGGTCATGTCATGATGCAAAAATAATAAGTGCATGAGGAAGAAAGTATTGATTTTAATTAATGAAAGCACTGATTAATTTAATAAATAGTTTGCTAGTTAAAGTTAATATTGAAACTAAGCATTTTATAGTACAAACTATTTCAAAGCAGACAATGATAAAACGATCGCTAAATATTCTCNTTCGGCCGAAACTGAGACCGTTGCCGAAATTCGGTTTCGGTTTCGGTTTCGGTCGTAAAAACCAGTTTCGGTCGGACACTATATGTTTGTGTTTGAAGAAGTTTCACTTCAGTAACGTGTTGTGTAATTACATGTTTTTTTTTTTTTAATTAACGTACTTTCACCCTCTATATTCCTATTAGTGGGCTGTTTTCCTGCTTACAAATGTGACTACTTGTTATTGTAAAATTTGTTCACATACCGAATTATGTTAAAATCTGATGCCTGGTTCTCCGACTATTACTCTACCTAGGTAATTTAAACCATAAGCGTAGCAATGATTTTTTGCTAGGAGGAGGGGGGGGGCAAGTTTTAAACTGTACCTATCATGCTTATAGGCTCATAAGGATACTCTATCGAGCTCATCGAGCTATACAAATAAGTGAGAAAGACAGATTATAAGGCTACAAGCGTCACGATCTTACCTCGAGCTCAACCAATCACAATTGTAAATAGCTCAATGAATTGAATCACATTGAGCGACGGAATAATTTGAAAACGAATAACAGAATTGATCGACTAAACTTTCTGGAGAAATTTCATGAATATATATATGTATATATATAAATTATTGAAGATTTATCTTGAATAATTGATATTATAGGGCGGGCTAGGAGGATTCTAGGGTAGGCCTGGTCCACCTTGCTCTGTTCAGCACAACCTACAGTTTTGTGTGGACAAAATAATAAGAACAACGGTGTACATTGCCTACGTATTCCCGAAAAATTTAATATACGGTTCGTTTTTAATATCATTTTTTTAATTAACACTTGCCAAATTAGCACTTACTTGATAGGTGCCTTAACAGACCTGAAATAAATACAAATATATAAGCCGGAATTTTATCACATTGCTGTCAATGATGTAACAAAATACACTAATTTTATTATTACTAAATGGTAACTACAGTTGTAGACAAAATTAATTAAAAGTGAAGCGCATTACTTTATTTTTAAAATGGAATGTTTCTAAAATTTGCTCCCCAAAATATTTTATAAATGATATGTTTAGACTAATCGAAAGTAAAAACTAAATGATTACCATCTTCTATAGTGTTTCAGTTTATGTTTTTCGAACGAATTAGGAAAGAGATAAAAGATATTCACTTTTGAGTTTACTCACCAACTATGAACTTGTGGGGGAAAAAATGGGTTGATAAATTCGTATACAAAGCAAAATTTTCTCTAGCTTTTGAACTTTTTCGGGACTCCAGAATGTTTGTTACGGGGAATTTCCGGTAAAATGAGAAATGTAGGAAAATTGTTGGTTCTAAATCTTTCATAAATGATGAAGAATATTTAGATTATTTCAATCTGTTTTAATATTCCCATTCATCGACCTATTACCAAAATTAAAAAATAACGTATACAAAAACCGCACTTTAAGCTTTTAAATTAAAACTATAGTAATACAAAAGAAACTAAAATTCCAAAAAAATTCTTAAATAAGTTTTCAACAGCTAGAAATTATATTCGAGATAGAAGAAAACAATTGGAAAATAGTGACCTGGTCTAAATGTTTACATTCCAGTGTATTGTTGGTTGCATACATATGTAT